TTGACTTGCGTCTAGAAACTCTACATACTAAAATAGCAATTATTCCACCAATGAAGATCCCAAATATGAATATACTAAGACATATTCCAACAAACAGTCCTCTATTCAACTCCAATTTATCACCAGAATTATCTATGAAAAAGACAACACAGAGTATATAACTATTGATTGACAAAGCTCTCTGAATTAGAGAATATTTTTCTGAAAACTACTAACCACAGTAAACACAACATTGGGTTAAACCAGAATAACTGAAACCTTTTGGAAAGTGACTTTGAGAAACAGTTACTTATTATCCATAACAGTGAAAAAAATTAAGTAAAGCTTGTTGATTCAACGCAGCAGCTACCATAATTAAGACTATAAACTTATTTTATTGGCACACAGTTGTGTTGCTAAATTTCTTCAAGTAGGTGAAACAAGACCTGATCATCACAACTACTGGTATTTGGATAAAAGATTCAAAAGCATACCTCCAGTTCTGCTTTCTCTGGAAGGAAGTCCTATGAGAGACAGATAAAGGAGAAAATAAGAAATATTTAACTTTATATAACTTTTGTAAGATCATAATCTCTATTTGTTGTACATCATCCCCCTAGAAAGAGATCTCTCATGCATTGTGTACTGGGTAAAGATTAGAAAGAAAATTAACCCTATCCCTGAAGTGATTAACATGTAACTTCTACCTATAATATTTATACATTATCAAGCAAACAGGTAATGGGAATATGCAAACTTATCAGCTAGAAGTTGTTAATTATCTTGATCTTATACCAAATTCTCATAACTAATTTACAAAGATATGTGTAGCATCTAGAGGGGAGAATTAACAATCAGACCTTGAGAGTTAAAGGATTAAATGCATACGCAGACATTTTATATGGCTATTTGTACCAAGATGTGTATTTGAAATGGGGCCAGTGTCTTGAATACACTGAGCTTTTTAACCCTGAATATCCTTCCACCAACATACATGTTCTCCACATTATTTTCTACACATTTCTTAGGTATACTGGAAAAAGAATTAGATGCTAACATTTTTTGAGAGGTTATGGAGTTAATGTAGAGGGTCCCACTTATTGTTACATGGGAGAAATTTCAGAAAAATCCAAACAATATCTGCCTCGCAAATTTGACAACATATTGCAAAAATTTCATTTTGGACCAAAATTCATCAAAAAGCCAGAACTTTTAAACAATACTGTACATACAAGTCCATGCAATGGCAGAGATGTA